TTTAGGCTGCAAGAAAGCAGTTGACTAAGTTCCTCCCTCCCTGGGAGGTGCCAGGAAAGCCTGGTTTAGCCCGGGGTGAGAGCAGCTGAGGGGGGTGGCAGCTCCGCCGGCCGGAGGAGCTCAGAGAACTAGCAAAGCGCAGAGCCCCGGGCTCGGGGGCGCCCTGGGTTTGCTCCTGTAAGCGATGCCTGGGTTTGCCGTGGCGGAGAAGCTTCCCGGAGCCCCCGGGACATCTGTCAGGATGGGGATAACTCCTGTGTTAGCCCTCTGAGCTTGATTGCCTCTCCTAGGGTGGTTTAATAGTCTTAATTGGTCTGTCTGTATCTTTAATGGGTCTGCCTTTAGCCTCTGCGGTGAAACAGCATCCCTGGCATCCCGCAGCCCTCGGGTGTTTGGGAAGGGAAAGCCCCCAGCTCCGTGCAGGCCTCTTGGCAGCTCCGTCCCAGCAGAGCATCGTTCTGGTGCAGAGCTCACGCGGGCAAGCGGGGCTGTTCCTCACACCCTGGCCTGGGTGGTCGCTTCTCTCGTGGGATGTTTCTGACGTCGGACGTGGGGCGAGCGCGCAGCAGTTTGCAGCAGGGCAGGTTTAACGTCCCCAAAAGCAGAGGGTGGCTTTGGTAGGGCTGTGCCGGGGCGGGGGAACGGCTCATCACCCACGTCCTGTCACGGATGCCGGAGGCTTTTGGAGCAGCCTGTGATGGCTGGGGGACGTTACACCTCCTGCTGGGACGGTGGGCACGCACTAGGGCTGGGGTGCAGCAGAGCCGTGTGGGAGAGCTCCGTTTCGGTCCGTTCGGGGCTGTTTTGAGCTGCTCTTGATACAGATCCATGAAGAAAAACCCACTGGGGAGGGGTGGTGTGGCCCCGTCTGCTGCAGGGTGGGCTCAGGTCCTGGGAGAGCCTGGGATCTTCTGGCTTCAGGGGTGGGTTGAGCCGTGGGAAAGGGATGGCTACGCACCCGGGGAAGCGTGGGGTCGCGTAGGCAGCGGCGTGGCCGTATCCTGCCTTCACAGAGGGGCTCTTGTGTTGCAGCGCGCTCTTCCCGGACGTGGTGAACTGCATGCAGACGGACAACCTGGAGCTGAAGAAGCTGGTCTACCTCTACCTGATGAACTACGCCAAGAGCCAGCCGGACATGGCCATCATGGCAGTCAACACCTTCGTGAAGGTGAGAGGAGGGGGCTGCGTGCCGGGGAGCCGCCCGCTGCAGCGGGTCGGAAACCCCTGGCCCCCCCGCTTGCGCGCGAGGCCGCCGCACTAAGCTGCTACGTGCTCTGCTCCGAAGAAGGGAGCGTGGGCAGGCTTCCAAAGCCTCTTTCTTTGGGAGTAGGGGCTCCTCTAGCTCTAGATAACTGAGCAAATTTGTCCAGTGATGCAGAAGAAAAACATCCTCTTGGCAGCCATGCTGTGCCACTTGCTCTCTCAGTGGCAGCTTCAGTCGTGGGCAGTTCCCGTGATCGAACTGCCGTCATGTGAGCTTACGTGCTGAAGTCTCTGCAGCTGAGAAGGCCCTCGTGATCTTCCAGTTGAAGCTGGGAGCTGAAGAACGTGTTTGTTAGGTGAAGAGCGTGTTTCTTAGGAGCCAAGATATTGCCAAATCACTTTGTGCAAAGGCTTGGTGGGCATTAGAGGGAGTTTTGGCTTTTTCAGGAAGAAAAAAAAACCCCACACGATAAACCCAATGGATGCATTTCCCAGGTCAGGTGGCCATTCTGCAGGGTGGCAGCTGACTTCAGGTACTTGGTGTAAGTGATGAAGACCCCGGATTCCTGGAGGTGTGTTTGAAGTGAGAACTGATGGTGTTAAAACTCTGTGGGTGCCAGATTGCAAGAGATCAAACCTCCCTCTTGGGTGACTTGTTCTCGAGAGCCGAGTGTTAAAACCTCTAGACTTCAGGTACCCTCATGAGAACGAAGGTCCCGAAGCCACCACTGATGCCTGTGATTCAAGGAGCAGCGGCCCAGGATACCTGACCTTCCCCTCTCATCCCCACAGGACTGTGAGGACCCAAACCCTCTGATCCGGGCTCTGGCTGTGCGGACCATGGGCTGCATCCGCGTGGACAAGATAACGGAGTATCTCTGCGAGCCCCTGCGGAAGTGCCTCAAGGATGAGGACCCTTACGTGCGCAAGACGGCGGCCGTCTGCGTGGCAAAGCTCCACGACATCAATGCCCAGCTGGTGGAGGACCAGGGCTTCCTGGACACCCTTAAAGACCTCATCTCGGACTCCAACCCCATGGTGATTATGCTTTGCCCTCTCCATCTTTTCTTTCCCTCCGAGTGGCAGCAAATGCTCTCCCTTCATCTTCACGTGCCGACTCCTTTCTTCCCATGCTCCCCTTCATCCTCTTTTTGGTGCTGAGCAAACTGCTTTTGGGGACGGCTGTTTCTGAGGGCTGCAGGCTGTGTTCCTTGCCCTGTAACCCTGTCTCCTGGATGGAAGGTTTCTCCAGTTCCTTGGCAGTGTGTTGTTAGTCTGTTCCCAGTGGGGAGGAGGCTGCCCTGGCCAGCTCGGAGCAGGGGATGGTGGCAGAGGGGAGCTGGTGCTTGGCTCTGATGCCACGTAACTGGCAGCTTTTGCCTCTGGTGAGGGTTCCCTAGCAGCTGGGCTTTGGCCAGCCTTAGTCTCCCTGCCTTTCCCCAGGCGTGAGAAACTCGAAAGCCTGCTTTCCCCAGGGTTTCTCTTCCCCCAGCCTTTGCTGCACTTCAGATCTTGCCACGGGCGTAGCGACAGGCCCAGGAGCTGCCGCAGGGAGGGATGGGGCTCCTCGGAGCTGCCTGGGGAAGGGGAGCGAGGGGAGGCTCCTCCGTGCCGGGCACGGGGCCAAGGCTGACTCCCGCTGAACATGTGCGAAGCGTTGGAGATGTGGCGTGGGCGGTGGGACTGGGCTGGTGGCGATTGCTCATCTCCTGAGGATCAGCTGGTGGGGAGGAGAGGCTGGTGCCCAGATGTCGCTGGGATGGGAGGT